GTTTCGTGGTTTCATAGGTTTCATGGTTTCATCGGTTTTATGGTTTCGTCGGTTTTATGGTTTCGTAGGTTTTATGGTTTCATGGTTTCATAGGTTTCATCGTTTTACAGGTTTCGTAGCTTCATAAGTTTCGTGGTTTCATGGTTTCATGGTGTCGTGGGTTTTATGGTTTCGTGGATTTTGTGGTTTTGTGTGGTTCATGGTTTCATAGGTTTCTTGGTTTCATAGGTTTCGTGGTCTCATAGGTTTCATGGCTTCGTATGTTTTATGATCAACCAGACATGACAGGTTCAAAGTACTGAAGGTGTCATGTTTCAGAACAGCTAATTTCTTTGTGTTACAGTTAAAAGCGGTAATAAAAGTTAATTTCTATGTTAAACTGGTAAAAAAATTATTTTCCATCAGTGTGATTCATATGTAAGGTCTGAGATGAAAAAAAAGTTTTTTTCTTTAATCAATTGTTGATAGAAAGCAATAGTAAGCAACAGTCAGAGCAGTTAAAACGTCTGTTAACTTGTGTCAAGACGCGTTCGGTTCACATTTCTGACTCTTCCTGGCTTTCAAGTTATCAGTATCGGTTTTCTGATTACCAAAACACCATTTAAGGCGAGACACAAGGAGTCTTGGCAAGAGATCTCGATATTTTCACTTTTGTAGCAATAAGAGCATACACTTAACATTTTCGTTTCACTTATAATGGTTAAAATGATTCTTTTTACGCTTCATGGCAAACCAAATTGACAGCCTCCTTTAGCTACAAAATCGCCATAAATTCATTTTACGCTTGTATTAAATAGTTTTTGTTTTATTGTTCTGGTAACGTACAGAAGTTTCCAAAATTATGCAACGAACGCGGTAAGATCGTTAGCATTTTTACTTTTCTTTTGTAAACAACAATCAGTAATTAAAGAACTTTATATTACCATGATTTTGTTTGACGGAGTTTGCAATATGAACTCTAGGCGGGTAAGGAGGATTTGTAGAGGTGATGAGTCATAATACTCACGCAAATATCGTCATACAGCCCTTCGTGAAAACTTTAACCACTATCAGATTATCCTTTGGGGCGATAGGGTGCAGAAAAGACCTCCAGGCGGTTTTTCTTTCTCAATGTTCCCACTAATAATAGCTGAAATGATCTTTCCCCACTAAATTGGTTCCACAGCCACTTATGACGCAATTCATCATCAGTAAGAGGACAGACGCATAAAAACTGACGTCAATTTGTTAAAGTGAGTTTCCCAGACAATGCTTAATCATAACCAAAACCTGTTTCTGACAGTTTCTTATTGTTTCTGCTTGTTTGCCGAGTTTGCAAAAGTGTTTCAAACGAAAGTCTGACACGAGTAGCTCATTTGCATAGTGCTGCGTGTGCACTTTCAAGTCCGAATCAGTTTTTTTAATTGTCAACAAATCTTGACAAAGATTTCTTTCGTTATCTTTTGTGCTGAGATGCTGCATCAATTTTTACCAACGCCAAAAGGCTACTAGCATCACGTGTGTTTCTTCAACATAGTAAAATTTTACACTGCGAAAATAAAATAGACAAAGAGTTTTGATAACTCAACCAACAGAATCGAAATCGCTATGCGAGTTGATTAAAGAAAGCGTCATCGTAACTTTACTGATTATTTCTACTGTATTCACATATTTTCAGCTAAGCTTTCAATATGTTTGCAAACATTAATCAACCATAAACATATTCAAAAACTAGAGATATTGTATGAGTTCGATGAAAGTTTTCGCACGAAAGTGCGGAAGTCCAATTTGTCATGTTTTACTGACTGTAGAAAACATGCATTGGTAAGCGCTCTCTTATTCATCAACAACAGACAATTTTTGGATTTTGACACGAACAAAACTGAGCAGTATCTACAGAAATAAACTTATTGATGAAACATCAAGCGTTGCTTACAATTCAGGTAAAACTAAAACTTGCAATTACTTTGTTTTACTTTTCGGTCACGATAGACTCCAGCGAATTCTTCGCAAGCAAGTGGAAAAAGGAGCCAGGACACTTTGAAGCCCTTAAAACCACGAAACCTATGAAACCATGAAAACATGAAACCACGAAACCTATGAAACCTATGAAACCACGAAACCTGTGAACCCATGAAACCGAGGAAACCACGAAACCTATGAAACCACGAAACTTATGAAACCACGAAACCTATGAAACCTCGAAACCTGGGAAACCACTAAACCTATGAAACCTCAAAACCTGGGAAACCACGAAACCTATGAAACCACGAAACCTGTGAAACAACGAAACCTGTAAAACCACGAAACCTATGA